CCTAATTAGTCCATGAGATAACTTAAACGGTGAGCAAGACAGATCCGACAGAAATCATGTGTCCCAAATAACTGCAACATGTGTTTGTTCTCAAATCATTGGTTCGAATCTGACTCGATTGCTTGTCGAACAAGCTCGATACCTATTCAGTTTTTAGTAGGAAAATAAATATTGGCATTTCCAAAGTTTTCGAATAATAACTATTAATATATGATATTGGTCGAGGCGCCGATCAACGGCGGACATTGATAAATCATAGTAAATATTGTATAAATATAAACTCATCAAGGGTGGATCTTTCACATTCTTTTTAGGTGAACTTGGCCCATTACTATTTTATTTTCTTGATTTTATTCTTAAAATATGTAATGGGCTATTTAATTTTTATGAGCCCATTACATTTAATTGAAACGGTCCACTTTTTTACAGGCCCATTACTAAGCTTGTTGTAATTGATTTTCGTCATTTTTAACCCAGTGCAATTATTCTAGGCATCCATGTGTTTATGTCTTAACAAAAAAAAAAATATTAAATCTGATTTAAAATAATATTTTAAGAAAAAAAAATATATATAATAATTAACTTTTCCTACCCCCTTTTGTTTAGAATTGTAGGAGTGAAATAGTGGTAAATGAAATTGAGGGGACCAAAAATTATAGAGTGAAAAAGGGGAGCCGCTAAAAAGAATAAATATATTTTAGAGAGGATCGCACGCAAAACGAGGCTGATTTTTTTGTCCCAGACCTGCCTTTTGTCTTCATTTGTCTTTGACGCGTTAAAACCTTTTCCAAAATCAAATATTTTTTATTTTATGATAAACAATTAGTATTAATAAATAATTAAAAACAGCTGTTGACTTTGACCTTCGATCATGTGCTGACACAGTCCCACTGATCGGATCATAGTATAATATATATTTTATTTATTTTACTTTAAAAAAAAATATTCAGATTTTTGTTGGATAATGGCCGTAATAATCGGGTGAGCATTCAAACTTCAGATATATTTAGGTGCAAATTTAGACTGGATGATCTGTTTTAGGAAAATCGAATGTCATAGGATGATTGACACGTGGGTAGTTTAAATAAAAATATAATTATGATTCTAATAATTGAAAAAAAATGAAAAATAAAACACCAGTAGAACTCATAACTCCACTAACCCTAATTATAATCAGCGTGATTTATTAAGAGTTAAGACTTTAGAGTGCCACATGTCAAAAAAATAGTGGAATCGGATTTATATAATCGGCTGATCCGCTCAGAATTTAATCTCTAATATTTATCATGTTATATTTGATGTAATAATATTGCAATATATATAAACGAAAAAATGATTAATTAGTTTTAATAATATATATGTATACATCTAAAACGCGTTTTTACTTTGTTATATATGTATGTATGTATATATCTCGAATTTGCAAATCATGCAGCATTATTATGAACACGTAGAGCTTGTTGTCAACTAGTAGTGTGCAGTGTGCACAAATTTAAATGGTCCTATATATATAATAATTGTTGTTTATTGAAATTGATGATGCATATAAAAACATAGTGTATATAGAATATATTCATTTGCTTTTTTAGTGTTCAAAAGTCAAACAATTTTTGTGTCAGTCTTTCGCATATTATTTCGATCGAGATAAATAAAATGTTTGTTCTCTGCAATATTCTTTACCATGCATTAAGAGAAATTTTATTTTTAAGTACTTATTACCAGCTTTAAACCTAGTGGAACTCAATTTTCAAGACAAATGAACTAGGTTTTCTCCTTTCACTTGTCTTAATTAAGACCCCGAGATAAGGTTAAATTACAAAAATATCTTTTGTTTGGATAGTTACAACCACTATGCCGCACCATCAAGTATGTATGAATCTTGCACGACCACTCTTTTGGTGTTAAATTCAACAGAATCTTTTAGATTCCGTGAAATGTTCTCTGGTTTGTACTCGTTTTGTACAAAAATGCAGTTTCTGATGCACTATAATCTGATATTTACAAGCCAAGAGACACATTTTATGAATATCTTGTTTCAAATGTAGAGATCGAAGGGGGTAAAAAGTGTACAATTTGGAGAATATTCCACTGAATTTGCCAGCACAATGATGAATGTGTAAGAAGATTAATAGTTAAGGGAATGTCGTAATTACACAAACACGATGG